CCTTGCATTATTTCTGTGTACAGATCAGGTAAAAATATGGCAATTTGTCAGAATTGGTTCACCAAGTAGTGGGATAGATCCATGGCCTTCTGATATACAGGAGACCTCAAAATACTACTAACAGGCCTGCTTACAAAGCAACTTGAATTTACAGGAGTGTTGCCACCTTTAGACGACTTACATGGTGTCTAAAGCCAACCTTTTTTTAAAGTTTTGGATGGATAAACCACTGTCACATTTTTATTGCTGTTGGTGTCCTATTGGCGAGATCCACTCTCCTTATTTTGTCATGGTGACCATAGTCACAAGGGACAGATGATAAAGAGAAATCTAAATTTTATAGTTGCCACTAGAACAAGAATAGGTAGAAAATCTTTGGATGAGGTCATCTGTTCCATTGACAACTATCTAAGAGGGATTTTGTTTCCACTTTAAGCCGTATCTCTGGGACAAAACAAAATGAAGGAAGATCTCCCCAATAGGACACAAAATCCTGATGGGCTTTTACCAATCCATACTTTATCCAAAACTTAAGAAAAAAGTTTGGGTTTGTGCATGCCCACCTGCAACTTTTACTAAACATGTTTTGCAACTTTGTTTTGCATCTTAAACGTTTCACCCAGCAGAATTGTCCATTTTCTTTTTACCTGGGATAGAGCTCTTTCTTTGTATCAGATTCCAGTGAACAATGGAAACAAATGTAACACATTTAGCAAAAGTTACATAAAGGCATGTGCAATCCCATAAAGGATGTTTTTTTAGATTGGAAAACCCCTTGAAGTATCATTTCCTTTTACAGTATGAAGGGGCTGTGAGGATGTCTTGTTAGTGTATACAGCTCACCCAAACATTTCAGATGAAATACATCTACATCAGGAGGAAAGAATTGGTTGCTGTATTAACTGAGAGCATGCTGGTAAGTAGTGATGCTTCAAAAACACCCAAAGCTGGGCTAAGAAGTTGGTAAATATGGTGAGTTTATACCCTGTTGGGATTCATGTGAATGGAAAAACACACGAGTTACACAGAATTTTGTGAAGAGAAATAGTATGAGCAGGAAGGATACACAACTTCAACACTACTTTGAGCAATTGGGTTACGAATGCTTCATGGGTAAGAGCTGGAGAAGCTAAGTGTGCACAATTTCTGTAAACTAAGGCTGGCCATACACTGATTGTTCTTCTCATTCAGCTCACAAGGCTGATTCCCCCATCCATGCCAAACAGCATGAATAGGGAAAACCCATCCACTGTTTTTCTCTCAGTTTTAATGAGATCTTTGTGCTGTGTTCCTGGGCCTGCATACCTGTCGTGCCAATTATGAGGCATTTACCCTCTTCCTGTTAAAACTGTTCCTTGTTTATATTATGGAAAATATAATAGTAGAAGCTGGTGCAGACAAAGGTGGGTTGGAACACCCCTCTTGGGTGGGCAGGAACACCAACTCCTAAGTGGATGGGAACAGTATAGGGAATTATAGCAGGGGCATCTCACTTTTGGAGTACCCAAGGTATATAATAATTTAGGGGCTGTCTCAGCTCAGCAGCCTCATCCAATATGTAAAATAAAACGTTTAAGGAATAAAAGTGTTAACAAAACAGCCCTAGACCCCCAATAATTTGACACAAGTAGTTTTGAAGTAGTATGTTTCCTTGACCTAGGATACAGTAAAAGAGGAGTTGAGATGAATACTTTAGTGCAACAAGGAATAAAGTGACTTGGGGACATTAAGTTACCATCTCCTAGAGACAGCTTAGCAGAGGCAGTTTACATATAAAAACAACAAAGTAACTACTCTTGACTTTAGGTCAAATAATTTAATGTCTGATCTAGCTATAGTTTAAAAAAACATAGACAGACATAGATAAAGTATAAGAAGGTAAGAAGGTAAATGTTAGGAAAAATTAGGAAGCCCATTTAAGGTAAAAGAATATAATGGGTTACTGTGGACCTGAAGCATTGAGCATGTAGCCTAGGTTCCACCGCAGTTTCATGAATAATGCTTCTGCCTGAGAAATATCTGCCAGAAATGGCCCCTTTTAGGTTGGCTCAGAATCAGGGTCTACAACGTGGTGCTTCGCAAAGCCAGCTTGTAACTGAACAAAAGGGGGCAACAGTGAGTTGGTGAGAGCAAAACATACAATAGACATGGTATAGGTATAGGTAACAGTGAGCTGGTGAGAGCAAAACATACAATGGACATGGTATAGGTATAGGCAACAGTGAGCTGGTGAGAGCAAAACAAGCAAAGGGCACGGAATAGGTATAGGCAACAGTGAGCTGGTGAGAGCAAAACATACAATGGGCATGGTATAGGCAACAGGAGGCTGTTGAGAACAAATCATACAATGGACATGGAATTGGTATAGGTATAGGCAACAGTGAGCTGGTGAGAGCAGAACATACAATGGACATGGTATAGGTATATGTATAGGCAACAGTGAGCTGTTGAGAGCAAAACATACAATGGACATGGTATTGGTATAGGTATAGGCAACAGTGAGCTGTTGAGAGCAAAACATACAATGGACATGATATTGGTACAGGCAACAGTGAGTTGGTGAGAGCAAAACATACAATGGACATGGTATTGGTATAGGTATAGGCAACAGTGAGCTGGTGAGAGCAAAACATACAATGGACATGGTATAGGTTGGGGTGTGATGGGATGCGGTGGTCAAGCGGCAATGAGAGTGGGTTAAGGGCTAACTCAGGTCTATCTTGTGCCACTCTCACAGACTGTTGAATACCACAGTGCCCCCTTGTGTCAGAATAGAAGTTAGCATTTGCTGTTCATGGAGTATTTCAGTCAATTACCTGATATTTTGGCTTTTCAAAGGCATACAATCTTAACAGACAGGGCATGGAATGCTCTATCCCAAAAGCAAAAATGTATTTATGATTCCAAAAACTGCCACAACCTGTAGATGGTACTGGATAATATTATATGTAAACTACATAGTAATTTAGGTTTACTGACCCATTTACTATATCATTGTCCATAAATACGTTGCTTTATGCAAAACCAGGTAGCTGCAGACCACTTTGTATATGTGAAGTTTTAAATTCTGCCTAAGAGCAGACACCTCAAGACATCTGCTATTACCTTTATTAGTTAAAAAAAAAAACCCTACTCGGTGATCACCTCTGATATAGTTTCACTTTATATCTGGAGCCCAACTATCCTTGACTTCATGACTAAGCCCTGCCAACTGCCATTCTCCCGTCCAACTGTCTTATTGTACGGTAAGGGAACTCCCAATAGGAAGACAGCAGCTATAGGAACTCATGCATGAAGTCAGGGGAAGTCAAGTGTCTGTACTACAATAAAACTTAATCAGAGAGGGGCACAGACAAGGGTTTTCTGGGTAACTGTCAGGCAGGATTTTTGCATTGTATCAATTTAGGGATGACAAAAAAAAAAACAAAAAAAAAACCCCAATACAAAATCATTATGCTTGTTCAGTTAGACACTACCTCAGTAAATTGCACATCAGTATTGCTCTTTGCATTGCCTCAATGAATATGCACATATGATTGTATCCCCTGGGGGATAGATCAGAAGGTTTGAGAGAACCCTGGTAATGCACTAAAGGTTGGAATTTACAGATGTAAGCATTTAACCAATATGAACCAAAACTCAAGTTTTACAAGCAATGGTATCTCTTTCTGCCCACCCCCCGCCCTGCCCCATTTTTCAGAAAATGAAAAAGAAAAAAGTCTTTTTTAGGATCTCTGCAGTATTACAGGAAGAGAATAGGGTAGTAGGTTTTAACCGGCATGATTTCCTATGGCCATTCCGTGAGGCATGGCCTGGGGGAAGACCTCATTTTTGTGGAAGGCAGGCACATAAAGTGCAGGGTTGGAACCCAAAGGGGTCGGGGCAAAACCTTGAGATGTCATCACCTGCGACAGGGCGAATGGCCCTGTGTTTGGAGGTGAGAGGGACTGGACAACATCATAGACTTCTCCACCATTTTCCCTAAGGTAGGGGTGCACCTGCCGTTTTCCTTTCTGCCGGCGGTTACAGAACCAGACTCTGACCACCTGTGAACAGATCAACACAACTGTTTAAAAACTTAATGTTAAAACAACGGACATACAATAATAATTTTAGTAGTTTAGCAAAGAGGCAGCATAATTCACATTTTTGTAGATTGATAGTACTTTCCTACCTCTTTAAAAACTGTAAAATAAACCGTTAAAGGGTAGTGCTCTGATAATGGGTACTTATAACTCCCAGAGATGTAATTGGTAGAATATATGTTCATGACTACTCTAGCCTGCCTCAGCCATAATAAGGATCCCACTTCCCTTGGTTAATTTTATATTACAGAGAATGTAACAGAAGGACTGGGAACATTCCAAGGTGTAGAGAAACACCAAAAACACCTAAAAGTAGACAGGAAGAGTTTGGAACTGTAACATGAGATCTCACTTTTACCGTCCTCAAAAAAAAGATCACTTCTGGTGAGATTAGCAGGGTGAAGAGTTTGGAGAAGGCAGGAGAAGTGAACAATCTAGGACAGCGTAGCTGACTTGGAAATATTCTCCAATTCAGCTCACTTACCAGTTCAGCTATGTTGTCCTAGATTGTTCACTTCTCCTGCATTCTCCAAGCTCTTCACCCTCTTGCGAATAACCCTGTAAATGTCTACTTCATTTCTAGTGGTTTCCTGGTTAAGAAAGGCTTCTATGAATTGGACCATCTATCTGAATTTTAAAATTCCTGTCTCTTTGTAGTGGACATAGGCATTAATGTCTTATGCAGTCAGGGGGCACTTGTCAGGGGGTCCATGTTGCTTGCTCGAAATACACACATCTATACTGAAAGCATTCTCTCTGTTGCTCCTTCTGTCATCTCACCAGCTTGAGAGAACACCATTGGCTGAAATATGTGGCTTTGAATCACCCTAATCTACTGTCATTAGCAAGACTGATGCCCCCCTACCCACCAGCCCAGTCCTCCCCTGCTGCCATGAAAATATACTATACTATAATGAACAGCTGTTAGAGCTGAAACACAACTCAGAAGAGCTTATACTTCAGAAAAAAATAAGTGACATATATCATGAACAAAATCATGAAACAATAAGCATAGAGTTGTGATGCAATGGCTAGGCCACGTCATACAACAGTTGTATAACTGAACGAAATATACTTACATCTTTATCCATGTTTAATTCCCTAGCAATTTGGGATATCTCCTGTGCACCGGGCTTTGAGCAGTGCATAAAGTAATTCTCCAAACTGCGTTTGACATTGTTCTCAATACTGGTTCGGTGCTTTCGCTTCTGAGCTTGAGGCAAAACTTGTCCCCGACTGATGATCTAAAGAGTCAAATAAGAAGGAGTTATGACTACACAAGGGTTCCTCCTTTTCAGCTTCTGACTATGTCAATCTTTGGTATAATAAGGGTCGCCGTACAAGTGATGCAAAGTCAAGTATTCCTTGCAACAGCTGGATGAGAATGTGTAGGTATTCCATAAGGGCACTCAAAATTTCTGCTGGTATTCACAGATGTTTGCTATCACACACAAGGATTTGGCAGGTTCTGGTGGTGCTGCAATGTACTGGAACCAGCAGTGTTCTCCCACCTGTGTAAACCAACATGACTTCTGCATGGTGACACATGGGAATAACATTCAATCGGGCAAACTAGAAGCTGCCGTTTCCTATTCTCCCCACTTCATTTCCTTCTACAATTTTTGTAAGTTCAGACAAGTTGAAGATACAGGTATATAGAGCTCCAAGGATGGCTTGCCTTATGGGCTGTTGGAAAGTGCCCAGCGGAACCTTATCCTGCATGTATGGTCAGATCAGTTGGTCAGCAGGTGTCTACAAAGGATAGGGGTAGTCCACATTAATACCATCACACAATTACAGCAAATGGGCTATAATTACTACTTACAACTGATACTTTTACTGCTATCACTAATATATCTCTCATATCATAATCTCACATAAATGTGTCAATTCAGCTCCTGTAAACTCCAGAGTTAAGTTTCTGACTTTTGACACC